GCCCGATGCAGGACTCGATCCCGGGACTCCAGGATCATGACCTGAGCCGAAGGCAGTCGCTTAACCAACTGAGCCACCCAGGCGCCCCAGATGTTATGTTCTTAGTGACACCTTTCCTGGCCAATTTAGGTAAAATAGCAATAACTCTACTACCCTCCCTAACCTGAAGCATTCCCATCACTCTTTCCTTGTTTTTTCTTCTTGGCACTTACGCCACATCCCCTGGCACTTATCCACATCCTTTCCTACTAGCTCCACGAATGCAGGAACCTTGCCTGTTTTATTCACTGCTGTATCCATAATGCTTAAAACAGTACTTGACATGTAAAGTCTCAATAAACATTTGAATGAAAGAGGAAAACAAAAAGACTTAATGTTGATGGCATATAATGTAGGTGAAAACATATGGCATTTATAATTTTGACAGTGTCAAATTGAAAGTGCATACTCAAACACTTCCTTTAGACAGTAATGAAGAAAGATGAATAAATACACTATAAAAATATTTTGAATTGATCATTATTAAAATACACATCCTCAAGGGGCGCCTGGGTGGCTCAGTCATTAAGCATCTGCCTTCGGCTCAGGTCACGATCCCAGGGTCCTGGGATCGAGCCCCACATCGGGCTCCCTGCTCAGTGGGGAGCCTGCTTCTCCCTCTCCCACTCCCTCTACTTGTGTTCCCTCTCTTGCTGTGTCTCTCTCTGTCAAATAAATAAATAAAATCTTAAAAAAAAAAATACACATCCTCTTACTCAGAGAAGAATATTAGACACCAAAAAGCTATAGAATGAGGCAGAATGTCATAAACACTTTAACCAGAAGTTTTAAAAATATAAAAAGTTTAAACAAAATTTTATTGGTCAAATTCAAGAGGAAATATTCGATGTGAACACTGAGGGGCTGACAGAATTTCAACAGGCATTGGAGGAGGATCTACAATGCAGTGGGAGGAACTCTTGATCTTGGGGTCATGAGTTCAAGCCCCACACTGGCATAGAGATTACTGAAAAATATATATATACATGTGTATATATAAATACATGCTGTGGGAAGTAGACATTCTAAGATGGGGAGAACAATATGCATGAAGACATGGTGGTAAGAAATCAAGGGGTATATTTGAGAACATCAGCGGAAGACAGCAGAGGGAACTATGAAAGATAAATTTGGAATGCTGTGGGAGGTAATTTTTAAGCTAACTTATGAGACATGAGTAGGAGGTGCCTAGGGAAAGAGCATTCCAGGCAAAGTGTGAAGGACCTAAGTGGGGGGAAAGAGCATGGCAAATTCAAGAAACTAGAAATCTGTGGCTGGAACAGAGTGAGGGAGAGAATCATAAATCGAAGCTGAAGAAGATGAGTCCACAGTGCTGTGAGGATAAGGTCCTACCAAGAAGCCACATAGAGGGGCGCCTGGGTGGCTCAGTTGGTTAAGTGACTGCCTTCGGCTCAGGTCATGATCCTGGAGTCCCAGGATCGAGTCCTGCATCGGGCTCCTTGCTCAGCAGGGAGTCTGCTTCTCCTTCTGACCCTTCCCCCTCTCATGCTCTCTCTATCTCATTCTCTCTCTCAAATAAATAAATAAAATCTTTAAAAAAAGAGAAAAAGAAGCCACATAGAAATTTATCTTACCCTGGCTAGCATGTGGTGCTTCAGCCTTCTGGTGCAGGAGAGCATAGCTGCATAGAAAGATCTGTCACTTCCAGCACTGCCACAAGCCAGAGGCAGCTTTGTACTGTGATAACATGAAGCTTAAGCAAAATAATAATGTAAAGCTCTCAGAATAATGACTAGCACACAGTAAGCACTCAGTAGATACACCATTTTATGATTACTGTCACTTTAATTACATTAACCTATTCTGTTTCAATCTCCTCATCAAAAAAGTAGGGATAAAAATTAGATTGTGAAAATGTATTATATGGCATAAAATGAAAAAGGTTCTCTATATGATAATGATGGCTGTTTTTCAGAAAAGCATTGAAACATGATTCACAGCAACTTTTACTATTCTCACATTAAGAATGTTCCTGAAACACTATTATCTTGAATTTTTATCTCTAACCTTTCCATCCATCCTAAAAAGAAACTATACTAGTGGTGATGGAATGCTTCTGTGCCACTTTCCATCCATAACAGATACCACACCACCAATTTTCAGTGAGATTTTGTGCTTTCATAGACTCCAATGTCATCTGACTTTAGACTATAGGTGGGGGTTGGAGGGGTTCCTGAGTAAGACTTCAAAGTTCATACCTACCATAGCCCAGACTGATGGTCAAAGGAAACACAGCTACCCAAAATCAAAAAGAGTGTTTACTCCTCAGAACAGTCTGATGATTTACCTTCCTTGCCCCTGCAGAATTTGACCAAATAATTCTCTGCACAACTCTGTCCAGAAATCTCCATTTCAGAGCAACTCTGCTTAGTCCCACTTCTGCCATGAGCCCAGTACTAGCCTTGGGGCCAGCTAGCAAGAGTTTGGACACACATTGGCCACCTGACCTTGTCTTTTTTTTTTAATTTATTTATTTGACAGAGAGAGATACAGCGAGAGAGGGAACACAAGCAGGGGGAGTGGGAGAGGGAGAAGCAGGCTTCCCGCGGAGCAGGGAGCCCGATGCAGGGCTTGATCCCAGGACCCTGGGATCATGACCTGAGTGAAGGCAGACACTTAATGACTGAGCCACCCAGGCGCCCCAGACCCTGTCTTACTTTTGACTCTGGGAGCCTGACTTCACGACTTACTTCCCCATTCCATTTGTACTTTATCTTCAGAACTAATGCCTTCTGGTTTTTGCTTTGGATTTCCCTTAACTCTGATTCTGACTCTACTAACTAGCATTACATCTGTTTAAAGCCAACCCCACCACAGTACCCTCCTCCACCAGGCCTCTGTCATGAATTCTTCTTTAGTTTTCTCAACACTTTAAAAATATAACCACCATTCCTAGCTTAGAGACTGAAGGCCAAAGCCAAGTAGACCTTTAACTTACAGACTTGTGTATGCATAAGCAATTGGTAATAGAGTTGTGATAAATTCTATAACAAAGGTAAACCCAGTGGCTAAAGAGAGTTCATAGGACCATCTGCCCCACACTTGGGCGATGAAACAAAACTCCCAGAAAAGATGATACTAGATTGAATCTTGACAGATTAAGAGGTAAAACTGGGATGAAGTTCAGTGCACTCAAAGGTAGCAGCATGAGTAAAGGTATAATGATAACTTAGGGTCTAGCACATTCTGAAACTTCCACTTGTTTGATACAGCTAAAACAAGAAATATTAGGGTTGAAACAAAAGAGACAAGACTGAAGAGTTAAGCAAGGGCCAGATGCCAAATAAAGGAAGGTGTAAACAATGGCTTAAACCTCAGAATAAAAGATATTTAGGAGAAGCACTGGTCTAGAAGTGCATTATTAATCCCCCACCCACCACCACAGGGTGCAAGGAAAATGAGGCCCTCAGGAGAAAGCTAGGTTTCAGTTGCCATTAACTGGTAGAAAGGGCATTTACAGAAGAACAACAAGGAAACAAAAACCCCTAAAAATCAGGAATTCAACAGTGATTATGTCATACAGAATTGGGGTCCCCTAGCTTTTGATGAGAAAAGCATATCTGGAGGCCGAGGAGAATGGTGAGCAGTGTTCCTAGAGTGGTAAGTGTGGGAAATGGTGGCAGAGGAAGCAGGAGACCTACAGATACAATGGGGACAGTTGTTAGCAAAGGGCCTGTGCAGAGGGGGCAGCGTTGTCTTCATAAATAAATGTGCTCAGGTGACTGGCTCCAACGTCCCAGGCGGAATGCATGGTTTAGTAAATATTCTTTGACGTTTTATAGTTAAAATATATAGTTACAGAAGAGTCTTCTGTTTAATTATTGCTAGCTATTCTTCATGTAGTTGACATGTTTTTCACTAGAGAAAAAAAATTTTATCCATCTAAATCACTTTAACATGTTTAAGCACATAGTAAAATGCATTACATTAAATTATGGGTGATCTTAAGTGCTCAAATGCCTCCTTTATAAATGGACAGTTGCAATTAATTAATTGAACATTATTATTGCTGTTGTTTTAGGACCTCACTAACTTAACCAGGCTGCGTCACTTAAAGGATTTGTGTCTGAATGATCCTCAGTATAAGACCAATCCAGTTTGTCTGCTGTGTAATTATTCCACACATGTATTGTATCACTTGCCTAGCCTTCAAAGACTTGACACATTTGATGTGTCAGCAAAACAGATCAAGGAACTGGCAGATGTAAGTGCATCCCTAATCAGATATCTGTGACTTAAGTTTAATTAATGCTTCTTTCTGGCTGTGTCCACATATGGTAGGTAGTATTATCTTGTCAGTTCTTGTCACCAACTCTACTTTTGCCCCAGTGAGCTGGCTATTTCACATAAACATATATAAATAACATTAGTACTAGAATATTAAATTTGATGACAGTACTAGAAGGTGAATTAATAGAAAAACACAATTTATACAAAACTAAAAAATCTGAAAGATTATCATGAGTGTCAAGAATAACTGAACTAGTGCAATATATACAAAAATTAATAAGGCCTAACGTAGAAATGAAATAAGTAACCCTCTCATTTGGAATACTATATATCAAAATTAAAAAATATCCATGGTTGATGGTAGTATGCCAGGATTAGGTAGATTTTAATCTAATTAAAAATGATTTGGGGTTCCCTAGAAGTACAGGTGGATCAACCCACACTCCCAAAATCTTGAAGATCTCTCAAATCTTGAAGAGAGCCACTCCTAGGCTGCCATTGATGGTGAACCTCCCAGTAAAGGGTCTAATTTCACATGCCATCAAAGAATTCTATAATTTCAGAATGGAGTACATAGGAATTCACCATATTTATTAATAGTCTTTCCACATTGTATTTCTTCCTTTCCTTCCACTCCAGTGCGCCACTTTCGTTCATTCAGTTAACCATGTAGTAAATAGGTTTTGAGTATCTAGAGTGTGCCAAGCATGATGATGCCCCCACGTGAGCCCTCTCATCCTTTGTGGCTCATCCATCATCTCAATATAAAGTATGCCTTTATCTATTTGTCTTGTTCCTCTTCTCTTGCTAGCCTGAGGATTTTTCTCAGGTTCCATTCTCTCCTCTCTTTTCCATAACTGAGATTATCCTCTCTCCCACCCCAATCTAGAAAGTGAACTGTCTTGCAGTATCAAGCAAAGGGCTAGAGTTCTTGTCTATTAGCAGATGATCAAAGTCATTGGAGATTCAGGGAAGAATGTCTTCTCTAACAGTGTGAAGTCAAAAATAACAGTAAAACTTCACAGTAACACATTTTTTGAAATGTCCATTATTATCTGCAGAGTTTTACATTAGGCAGTTTCTTCCAAGGTGAGCTGGTTCACGCTTCATGAAATTACTTGGCTTATTAACTTCTCCAACAAATATTTAATACCTATTACATTCCAGCCACAGCTCAGGCCCTAGAGATACAGTGACTGAAACAGACAAAATCCCTGCTTGCTTGGAGTTTACATTCTTATGGAAGAAGACAAATAATAAGCAACTAAGTAGGAAAACAACTAGTATGTCAGGTAGTGATAAATGCTATGGAGAAAAATAAAACAAGGGTGAAGGAAACAAGATTATTTGTAGGGCCAGAGGGAGGAGTGTTGGGTACTGTATATAGAATTGTTGGGAGAGGATTTCCTCAGGCAACACTTGGGCAGAGACCTGAAGGAAGTAAGTGAGCAAGCTTTTCAGGGATCAGCAAATGCAAAGAACTTGAGGCAGGAGCATGCGTCTCAAATTTCAGGAACAGGAGGTTAGTGTAGGTGGAGCTGAGTAAGTGAGAGGAAGAGAAGAGATGAAAACAGGAATGGCCGAGGTGGGGAGAGCATATGAGACTGCAGGATGTTATAAAGATTTTGGCTTTTACTTTGAGTGAGGTGGGGCCACTGGAAAATTTCGAAGAGGAAAGACAAAATGACTTATTTTTTAAAGGGATCCTTTTCACTAATGGATTAAGAATAGAGGATTTGAGGGGAAAAGGTAAGTGCAGAGAAACCAGTTAGAGCCCAGTTACTGGGATGAGAGGTGTTGATGGTTTGATACAAGGTGTTAGTGGAAGAGGTGGTAAAAAGTAGTCAGATTCTGTAGTAGTTAGAAGGTGGAACCCATCTGGATTTGCTGTAGACTGACTGGATGTGAGGTGCAGAGGAAAGAAACAGTGATTCCAAGTTATTGGCCTCAGCAACTGAAGGAGGGAAGAAGTTGCTCTTAATGAGTTGAGGAAGAATATGGAAGGAGTGGGTTAAAAGGAAAAATCATGGTTTAATTTTAGGCATGTAAAATTTTTTAGAAGATTTTTTTATTTTAGAGAGAGCAGGCACGCATGCAAGTGGGGGGAGGGGCAGAGGAAGAGGGAGAGAAGCAGGCTCTCCTTTGAGAGCAGAGCCTGACACAGGGCTTGATCTTACAACCCTGAGATCATGACCTGAGCCAAAATCAAGAGTCCGACACTTAACTGACTGAGCCACCCACCCAGTGCCTCTTAGGCATGTAATTTTGAGCAATCTTTTGAACATCCGAGAGGATATGTTCAATAAGTAGTTAGGTATGAGTCTGCTATTTAAGAGAGTTGCCTGGCTTGGAGATACAAATATGAGAGTTGAAGGCAGAAAGATGGTGCATAGAGCCAGGGACTAGATAAATCACCAAGGGAATGGTGTAAATGGGGAAGTGTGTCAGTTGGGTCTTAGAGACTGGGGAGAGAGGAGGAACCCGCAGAAGAGATGGAAGAGGAGAGGTAAGAGAGGCAGGTTCTTTTGACATTCTGGCTAAGGTTGTCATACATTTGGTTTAGTCTTGTATATGTCAGAAGTACTATCATTAAAAGAATAAAATAAGGAATTGTTACACAGTTCCTTATATCTTCTCTTTCTTCACCCTTTTAAGGCAAAAATTATATATATATATATATATATATATATATATATATATAGCTCAAGTTTTTATTTAGATCAAGATGATTTTTCAAATTCAAAGTATTTTTATTTAAGGATTGCATATGGATTCCAAGATGCTTTTTCTTCACTACCTTTCCTAAGAAGACAGGTTGTATCTGGTTGTGGCAATTCTCCAATGTGATAAACTCTTGAGCAGGGTACTGTTGATTCTTCCAATTTTAACCCATGACTCTGGAGTCATTTGTGTAAACTATTAAGTGGCAAGTAAAGTCAGGAGGACCACCATGGAGTCAGCATGGGAAAGAGGGAAGAATATGGGAGTTTAAAACAGAAGACTTGGATTCAAGCTCCAGTTGCATCCATTACAACCAGTCACTTAGACAAGGCCTTTCCCTTCCCAAACTTCAGTTTTCTGAACTATTAAGATAGTGATGATAAAAATAGTACCTGTCCTGAGGGTTACTGTAGGGACACAGTGAGTTAATGGGCATAAAACCCATTTTAATTGTTAAATACTATAAAAATAATCACTATGAAACTATATGACTTCATTCTTGTTTGGTAATCAAAGAAGCAAATGGAACAAATTTTGTTTGTTAGTACAAACATGCAATTGGATTTCGCATTATAGTTAGACTATTTTCAAAAAAATTTTTTTACTGTAATAAGCAAGTAATTCTACCAAAGTGGAATTGGATGAAAAATGAGTTCGACATTCTCAAAAGTTCAAACACAAAAAAGCAAATTGAATATAGTAAGCCTATAAAGTCTATTTGCCATGTATTTACAATTTACAACATAGTCTTCCCCACTTTTCCAAAGTCTAAGTATATACTCTCAAACAAGGATAAAAAAACCCTGATTGATAACTCTTATTTATTGTTATGACACTGTAAGTGATTTTTGAAAGAGTTCAGGAATGGGGTGCCTGGGTGGCTCAGTCGTTAATTGTCTGCCTTCGGCTCAGGTCATGATCCCAGGGTCTTGGGATCGAGCCCCATGTCAGGCTCCCTGCTCAGTAGGAAGCCTGCTTCTCCCTCTCCCACTCCCCCTGCTTATGTTCCTTCTCTTGCTTAGTCTCTCTCTGTCAAATAAATAAATAAAATCTTAAAAAAAAAAAAAAAGGAAGAGTTCAGGAACAGTAAAATATCATAATTTATGTCCCTAAATGCAGATATAGGTATATTCTTAATAAAATATAAAAGTACAGTAGAAGAAACTGTGCAGGGATACACTAGAAACTGAAATCAGTAGATATCTGTGGAAGGTGGGGCATATGGGAAACAGGTGTGGGAAGTAGACTTTTCATTGTATACTTTTCAATTATTTTGCTGTTTGAAACATGAATATATTACTTATTCAAAAATAATTAGGGGACCTGCGTGGCTTAGTTGGTTAAGTTCAGCCATCTACCTTTGGCTCAGGTCACGATCTCAGGGTCCTGGGATCAAGCCCCGTGTTGGGCTCCCTGCTCAGCGGGGAGTCTGCTCCCTCTCCCTCTGCCCCTGCCCCCCCACTTATGCTCTCTCTCTCTCTCTCTTAAATAAATAAAATCTTTAAAAAATTTAAAAACAAAAGAAAAGCAGTATTTTTTTGTCCCCCACCTAAGGGACTCCAAGTTAAATTTGAATTTCAGATAAGTAACAAATAATGTTTTAATATCATACTTCTTAAACTTAGTTATACTTATCCACTTATACTCAAGCATTATTTACTGTTTACCTGAAGTTCAAATTTAACTTACATTTTATCTAGCAATCCTATCTCTACTCATGTTCTCTCATTTTAGATTTAAGAATTCAATAGAATTTTTTAGCTGCCACTGACTCAAAGTATTCTTTGTTAGATTTTCCATTTTCTCCAAATAGTCAAAAATTAAGAAACATTTCCTTTTTTCTTCTAATTCCATTGCACTTCCAAAATAAGCTCTTCTTTATCAGGAATTTTTTATACCTTAATCATTCTAAAAAACATTTTTTTTTTCCTGAACCATTCTGTGTTATTAATGCCTTATTTTTTGCGGAGGAATTTAATGATTTCAATTTCAGAACTTCATAATATGCGTGGGCAAGGGAATTCTTTTGGCCTGTTCATCCTGCCATATATTTGTGTCTGTTCCATCTTTTACGCCAGATAATTCTGTTGGGATCTTAATTATCCACTCTCTACCAAATAAATCACATAACAGGAGCCTGCATCTATGAAAATACATGTCCAGAACAGTGTACAAGCCTTCCAAATTATTTGAGGTACAGGTTTCCTAATAAAAAGAAATGCCTTCATTATTTCAAGTAAACAGTTAAATATAAGTCACATTTAATAGTGCATTTGATTTGTTTATTTTTTCCTCAGCTAGTTCTTTTTGACTAATACTGCTTATGAGTATTAGCTGTAGTAGTATAGTATTAGTATAACTGGTGTATTTTTCAATAGTAGATTTAGTCTATTTATCATCATGTATTTATTAATAACTGAGTGATCACTGGTATTAAGGTATACTAGGTGATGGGTAGATTGACAATTTAATTATTTGCTCAGTCTAAAACAAGTTTATTTAGAGCATCCTTTTAGAGAATTGGGGGAAAAAACCCATCAAATCCATGATTTCTTAGCCATGCTTTTAAAAACTCAATTGAATAATGTTACATTTGCTTTTAATGCTTTCCAGTGTATTTTTTCCCTAAATTAATCAAATAGGAATAATATAATTACATATTTGCCTTAGTCGTACTGTCTCTTTAGCTAAATGATACGATTTTATAAACAATTCTATCTGGAGGCTCTTAACGTTGTCATCCTTGAATAAATGTGAGTATGCCTCACACTTAAAATATTATCCACAAAGAAAATCTTTGGAATTTTATATTTTGCTTATTAAGTTTAAATACAGCACTCTGTAGCCATTATCATTTCAACTATCATCATTATTAGTAATCGAGCATTCAAAACTTTCCAGTGGGTTGGTTATATAGAACATATCACACTCCCGTAATGCCACTAATAATTACTTATAATGTTTTTTGCTTCAGTTAATCTTTTGTTGTTTTTTTCCCTCACTTTTAGACCACAGCAATGAAAAAAATAATGTATTACAATATGCGTATAAAAACTGTTCAGAGGCATCTTAATGAAGACCTTGAAAAACTGAATGATCAAAAATGCAAATTACAGAAGTTGCCAGAAGAACGAATAAAATTATTTAGCTTTGTGAAAAAAAATGTAAGATTTAATATTATAAAATTTCAGCAGCCATATCTTAAGAAAACTGGCAAAAAGACAGCATTATCTTTTAAAT